TCATATTTTCTTATATTATTTTTTATGTAATAGTCATCTTAAAATACAATATTTTTTAATAGTTAACTTGATATTGAAAATAATGGACAAAAATAATAATAAAATTTTAATAAAATTTAACGTAATGACAAACCTTTAGCATTGCAATCTTTACAAACTAATAACTCTTCTGGTACTCCCTGATTATTTGATGCTGAAGTCAGAAGACAATAATCGCACTTCACATTTTCTACATTTTCTATGTTATTTTCAATAGATATTGGTTCTTTTTTAATTTTCTATAAAAGATATTTAATTATATCTATATTTTTCATTTTTTCTTATTTTTTTAAGAATAAATAAAATTTATTTAGCAAATAAATACAGTTATAAGTGACATTTTTATTAATCATTACATGAATTTTTATACTATATCCAAAAATTATATTCGTAATATTAAACTATGAAATAAAATACATAAATGAAAACAGAAAAACCTTATTTTAATGTAAATGAATGAAAAAATTCAATAATATAAATTATAATAGCCAGTGGCATATCTAGATATCATTGTTAGGTTTATGTGCAACATTTTTTTTTTATAGACAGAACTACTAAGACATATTTTTATATAACACTTGGATATACTTTTTTATAAACTTCAAGAAGTTATTTTCATTTTTATATTTTCTTTTTCTTTATTTTATTATATTTTTTGGTTAAAAAAAAAAAGCATATTCCTATCTAGATCTTCCGAAATATACTACTGCTAATAGTAAATTTTTTCATTATAAAATTGAAAATACAGTTTGTATTTATGATTCATACAGTTAAAAATATCAAATTTTTTTGCTGTATTATTTTAATTTTCATTATAAAATATGAAATCATATTGACAAAAAAATTTTTCTTAACATTAATTATTTAACAACTTAAATAAAATGATAAATTTCAAAATAGTTATATTTTTTTTAATACTGTTTTTCACTGTATAAATCAGAATATTTGACGACAGTACTAAGTAATAAATTTTATTTACTTATAAAACTTTTAAACTTTTCTCAATTCTCAATCTTCTAATAAATTTTATGAAAATATAATTTAAGAAAAATTTTGTTTTGATTTTAATTTCGAACAGTAATAATTTAATGCAAAAATCTGAATCTTCATTAGTAAAGTTAAAAAATGGTTCTATATCTACATTATATTACATTATTTTAATTAAAATCATGTATTATCTTATGAAAAACTTTTTATGGTAAAATCTTCATAACATTATGAAATCTATTTTAATACTATATGTTAATATTTTTTATAACAAAAATTTTATTAATCAATAAACTAATTGAGGAACATACTACAGATTTTTTTAAAATTTTTGTTTAAAAAAATTACTGTAATTAATTATAATAAATTTACACAGGTTTATCAGAAAACATTATGGAGCTATTTATAATATAGATTTTACCATAATTAAATTTTTAAAATTAATGATAATGGATTCTTTTCAATTATTTTCAGGCCAAATAAATATGGTAAAAAAATTCTAGTTCTGCCAAAGATGGTTTCTATTTAATATATGAATAGGCCAAAGCTATATAATCAAAAAATCCAATGTAAATACTATCATTAGTACTTTGAAATTATAGATAAATATTCTGCAAAAGAAAATTTTACATACTTTAGTCAAACTGTTATATAGTAAAAACAATTTTTTAATTTTCTCTTAAATATGAGTCAATATCACATGTTGGAGAGAAAGATCAGCAAAAAGCATAAACACTGAGTTCATGTAATCCTTTGTTCCATTCAAAGTGACTCAAATTAGTGTGTAAGGAGTAATTGATTATATTTATATAAAGATAATTACTCAACAATGAGGAAAAACAATTCAAGACATGAATCAATAAGGATTTCTGTCATTATCACAGATCTTAATAAAAAGTCTAGTTGTAGAAAGAATATTGATATAATGCAACAAAATAAAATTTGATATCTTAAATATTAAAAATTTGATCTATAGTTCTTATAAATGTTTGGCATATAAACTTTAATTTTTATATTTTGTAAAAAACAGCAATATTTCCAGTAGAAATAGAATTGTGTTGTATACATACACTAAAGTAGAAAAATTCAATTAAAATTAAATTTACAGTGTATAATTAGCTTATTTACAACATCATTTCAACCATAACTTTTTAAATTTAAGAATATCTTTTTTAAATCGAAATTTATATTATTAATTAGTAAAATTAATTACTAGAATATGCTACTATATTAAAATACATTAACACGAATTATTATTCATGTTCTGTACTTTAATATTTTTTAATTTCAAATTCACAAGAAAGTTTTTTAAATAGCAAATACTATAAAGTTATTTTGAACAATATTAGTTTCATTAAAAGTTATTATAATGTGATTATAATAACTAATCTGTATTTTTATAATATAGTATATTAATATTATACTATTAAAATAAAATTTAATTATCTTAAAATGGCAGTATTACAGTGAAGTAATTCTTTTTATGCTAAATCTTTAAGTAATAAATTTTCTTCATTTCATTCAGTTCTAAAGAACTGAACAAAATAGATTATATCAAGATAAAAAATTTGATTTTAATCAAATTTTTTATCTTGATATAATCTATAATTAATTAAATAAACATTTCTTTTTGAATTTAACATTTTAAATGAAAAAATTAAAAGGATTATATTGTTAATTTTACTTTAAAAAATTGATAAAAACGATTGATTTTCATCATTTTTAAAAAATGAAAAAATATTTATAAAATCATACAAAAAGAATCATTATTTTATAAAGTATTCAATTATCATAAAAGGAGTCATTGTTAATTATCAGATCAACTATTTGAAAGTATATGAAGTTACATCTACAAAAGTTTTGAAAATTAAGAAAAACTTTTAATGAAATTAAATGCCAGAAAGATTCATTTGTTATACAAACAAATGAATAATTTTATANCGTGAAAAAAAAAAGTTTGAACGTAACATATTTATATTTCCAGTATATACAAAATTTAAAGATAAGTTAAAATTTTTCAACTTAAATATAAACAAATGTTTATATATAAACTTTTTTTTTCTTTTCAAGTTGCGTACCTTCTTAATATTGCATTTCTTTCTCCCCCGTTTCTTCTTTGTTAAAACTTTATCAATTTCATCTGGAAGTTCTTTAAATATTGTTGGAACTGAACCTTTTCTTAAATACCTTCTGGGTCTACAACCCAATAATTCTGACTTAAGATCTCTGACGAAACAATAATCTTCAAAGTGTTCGCTACACACAACACTATTGTTGGTCACCATAACACATTTCTTCATATTTAACTTTTCCAACCATTCCGATCTCGTTAAAGGAGGTTGTGACATAAGACGATAATAACTAACCCCCTTCGTATATTTTGAATCATTATGACAACCCTGAACTATGCAATAAACCATATCCTTAATTTAATAACTAATACATTTCTACATATGTATATGCATTAATGAACTTGATGCCTCGTCTACTCCTCAGTTCTTACGTCATTTGTCTGTGTCGTCATCTGGTGATGGAAATATAAAATAAATGCTTTACTACAATATATTTCTTTTTTTTTTTTTCTTTCTTTTATAGATTTTTATATCGATTTACTACACTTTTACTTAAAAATCGATGTTTTAAATTATGCATAAATACTTCAAATTAATTAAATTTTTTGTTTTTCATAATTATCTTTTTTAAAACTTTGAAATATCCGCCATTTTTAAATATTTTATTCGTTTTTCGAAACTTCTAAATTATTAATTAATTTCTTTAATTCGTAAAAGAACAAATAAGAATTTTTTTTAAATAAACTACAAAATTTCCTATTTCTACTGTAAAAAATATATTTTCATTAATTAATAATTCATCTTTGACAATTTGTATTTTTCTCCTGCTTTACATCAATTTTTTTTTCCTTTCTTTTAATTTAATAAATAATATATTCTGAAACATATACAAAAATTCTTTAATATAGGCTATATAAAAGTTATATATAGCTACATATAAGCCGTACATTGATATGTAAATTTTTAAGCCAAGTGTCGGCCATTTAAAATAGGATATAACATTATTTGTTTGTGTTATAACAATTTAATATTTATAATTAAATATAAAAATTTTAAGGATCTAAACGTTAAAGAGAAGTGTTAAGATGTAAAGTTTTGTGTAAATTTATAAGAAAGTAATCTGAGGCTCGATTTAAATCGCTTTAAGAATGATAACTTGTACGCAGGGCCGTCGAGAGAGGGAAGCTGAGATTTTTCCTCGAGACAGGGAAAAATCCCTAGTGGTTCCTACCCCACAACTGTCAAGAGCTTTATGTCGGACCCGGGGGTAGAACGGGCCTCTCCTTGTTTTTTTTGGAAATAACAAGTGAAATACGTAGAATATTTCTTTGTTAGTAAAAAATAACGTTAATTTTATAGGAGTAGAAACCACGTGGTAGAAAAATCCCAAGCTTCTCCCTCTCCTATACGTTACATACTTTAAATCGTTGTAAAATATTATAAGGTGATCATCGTTAATAATTTCTATTGTATAAGCTATAAATCAATGTATCTGTTTTATTAATAACAGTCGACCCCCCTATAACACTGTTGATTTTTCCGTTTTATATGAATTCCATGTTGTACGAGTCACTTAGATTTTACAAATACGTGTGCCGTATTTGTAAAATCTAAGTGACTTGTACAACATGAAATTCATATAAAACGGAAAAATAAACAGTGTTATAGGGGGNTTTTTAATTTAATAATATTACCAAACGCCATTTTTTCTCACCAGAGGGTACACGATCGAATATCGTCTGCTTCACTAAAGACTCGAATAAATTACAATAGAAGGTAATTTATAACGAAAAGCTTCAACGATTTGTACAGAATTTGTATCAAAAGATGTTTTTTTATAGATATTGAATACTTTTTTCTATTTTATTTTATTATAAATACATAAAAATGTTAAATCGATAGCCGAGTGAATATTTAACAAAGGCAACAACGGCTAATCGATGACATTTTCAAGTGTTAAAATATTTAAATTTTAAGAAAAATATCGATTTTTCTTCCAAATATTTCTTATTAAATTTGTTTTTCAGAATAATTTCTATCCAATTTTATCGTCTATGGCTCCTGACATGCTAAATATCCAAATTAAGAATAGGGGGGAAAAAGCACATAAATGAAGTGAAACGGCGTTATATCGAGGAGTTATAACTAAAATGTTGCCGATCTAAAAAGTACAGTCGAAAGAAAGAAAAATCAGGCAGACAAATGTTCTAGAATATTCCCCATGCATCTAGAAGGAAACTTGGAGAACAAACTCTATTCAAGAACGGGTGGCAAACCGGAGGCCCGCGGGCCCGATACGGCCCTTAAAGGCTTGGTATCGGGCCCGTGCCTCAATTTCTAAAAAAAAAATCAACGTTTCTAACATCTTGAGGGGATTAAAACAAAAAATTCGTAAAGGCCCGGCCACAAAAGGGCCTTTACGACTTATTTTTAGTTTAAAGTATGATTTGATTTACCGAATACAAGTCGACCCTTCTATAACACTGTTGATTATTCCGTTTTATATGAATTCCATGTTGTACGAGTCACTTAGATTTTACAAATACGTGAGCCGTTCACAGCCCGGCACACGTATTTTTAAGATCTAAGTGACTCGTACAACATGGAATTCATATAAAACAAAGTAATCAACAGTGTTATAGGGGAGTCGACTGTACTTTCTGATTTTCTATGATTGTTTCCATTTTGAATAAAACGTTACGAAGTTATTTATTAATTTATATACGAAATAAAACATCGACTATTTAGGATTTTTTATAATACAGGTAGTTTAAAGTTAGCTTTTTAACAATTATATTAATGTCAAATGTATTTTTATAACGTCAAAAGCTGCTGCAGAATTGTGACATTAAAGGACGTAATAAAGTAACAAAATTCTTATTTTCGGAAATAATGATTTAAATATTGTATAGAATTTATTTAAATTGACTATATAATATAATATAACGTGTCAAAAACAATATTTTATAAATACAGAGTGTATACTCATAGAGTTTCTTTAAATATACGGTATCTAATATGTATATTTACCTTCGCTGCTTAAGTTAATTAGCATGCTATTTAAATATTTTCTATTGATTTTAATTGTTAAATTTTTATTTATGTAAATAGGGGCCAGTTTCCCATTTAAAAAAAAAAAAGGCATTTCCTTTTGGCAGATGGCCCATGTGTTTCGTTGCCTTGTTCCAAATAATACAATTATTCGTATTCTGTATTATAAAGCATTTAACATTAATTTTAAAATATTATTTTATCTATTATTGCGATATCAATGTGTGACTAATATAAATAAAAAAAAAAAACTTATTGTCATAAAATACAAATTGATATGACCTTGTTGATTATATTTTAAACAATTACTATACTTATATTTCGAGGATAAATCAATTTCATTACTGCTTGTGATACATTATAAGCTATACTACGAGGTGTCTCAAGTAAAATCGCCCCCTCCCCCCACTGGAAACGATACAAATGAATTTAAACAAAGAATAATCGTTAGAAATTTTATTTTAACATTATTTAAACGTACAGAAATTTACAGAAGATGCTAAAAGTTGTGTCTTTGTGTATCTATGCACCTTTGTATTCAGAATGACCTTACGTAAAATATACTGACGTCGATAGTTTCGCTTCTTTTCCCAATGCTTTCCTTCAGTTTGCGTATTAGTCTCATAATTTTTCCTTTTAAATATTACCTGTAAAGGTTACATCACTGATACTTCATCATCTCAGTCGGGTCCTATTTTAAGTGGCACACCCTGTATAATCTTACAAATAACTTTTTTACTGATTAATCTTTTAAAATTCTAATGAATGAATTTGATTACATTTATTTTGTGGTAAACTTAAGTAATTTAAAGTAATGGCTTTGTTCTTTCAGCGAAGATAGACATTAATGTAACATTATACAGTACACTGAAGAATAATAGAATTATTATTATTATTTTACTTTAAAGCTTAAATGATACTTTAAAGAAAAGATACTAAGTGTACGATTTTGTGAATTGTACTGTAATTATGAATACAAAATGCTTTTATTAATATTAAGAAAATTTTCAAAAAATTAGGTCATGCTTAACTAAGATTCATTTCTCCTATATTTAATTCAAAACAATTGAAATATAATTTACTCTTTATCCTTTAGAAACGAGTATTATATTTTAAATCATATTTTTAGTCTTATTCTTCAGTCAATATCTATATCTATGGCATAAATCTTGTACTAGAATATTTACTCTTTGTGTAAAAGCTTTTTTTTTTTCAATTTAGCCTTCTGTAGAAATAATTAAAATGCAATAGGATATAATACAGACATACATAAAGGATACTTTTTGTATTTAAATAAAATTTAGCGATGATTTTCATATAAAACTTTCCATTTTCAATGTTAATTAATGTCATAGTTCACGATATTCTTACATTGTAATTTAAATAAAAATACTTTTTATATCTTTAAAAAAAAGTTAGCCAATATAGTATATGATAATAACGATTAATATTCAAATTTGAGAGATAATATCTGTCACGTTTAACTATAGATTCAATAATATAATTGCATCATCAAGCAAACACCTGGATAGTTTATGACCTTATTATAACCTCTTGCATTGAAACAGGTTTCTTATTCAGCAAAAATTTTCAACCAAATATATTTTATTCGTTATTTTCTTTAACATATATTTATAAATATTAGTTTTTAACAATAAAATATATAATTTAGATATAATTTTTTAAAAATAAATGTATTCAATCGGTAGCATATTTAAGACTTTTTACCAAATTAAATTAGTAACTAGGTTATTGTATATAATTAAACAAGCTTTTAAAATTAGTTTGTTTTTTTATAATGTGCCTATAAATCTGCTATTCTATTTTTATTTTAAACTAAACTGAACAAACTATTTAATATAAATTTTAAGTTTAAATAACTTATGATATTTAATGTAATAAAATTCAATATATATGCTTGAAATATAAATTTTTATTTATATAGTTTAATTTTTTTAGAGAATTTAAAATATTCACAAAGTTTCTATAAATTAAAATAAAAATTATTTTTTAAAATAATGATTTAAATTGTTAGATTAATAAAAGTAATAAGCTATAGAGAATATTCTAAATATGTGTTTGAAACTGCTGCTTTTCATGTCAGTTTGGTAATTAGCCTTTAAATTGAAGTATGTCACCAAACAATGTTAATTTTATAATGAAGAGAATGACTGATTGATACAAAGGATCATAAAATTTCAATTTATTATTCCTGACTTTTGCTTAGATTAACATTCCATTAAATAGCTCTAAATATAAATTAAACTGAAAACAAATTAATATGCTAATAAGTAGTATCTTTTAAATACTGTTTATATATTAAATAAATAATCAATTATTTTTTAAAAATGTATTTACAAGTATACTACTTAAACTGTTTACTACAAGATAATT